CTGCTGTGTTCACGTTGTTGCTGCTGCTGCTGCTGTGTTTCATGTTGCTGCTGCTTGCCTGCCCCCACCACCACCCCAGCTTCCATCCCAGCATCCACCTGAAGGCTCGGGGGAGTTATCTAATCATCACTCAATGTTCTATACATCTGTGGAGTGATGAGGCCCGAGCCTAGACGCCAAGCTCAAACTATATGCTGCTTCTAATGAACATTAAGAAACACGTGAGTTGTCTGACTGAAATTGGACATTTCTGACAACAATGTATTGTCATAATTGTACAAGCCTATTGTGGACAGAGACCACTGGTAAAATAATGTCCTTCATGGTTAAATAGTTTGCACTGAGGTGTATGAAACCTTTTGCTCGTTGTTCCTTCCTTGCATGTTGGAGCTTCACTCTGCATAATGATGCATGTAACAATGATGTCACATGTTATATTCATCTGCTAGGAGGGAATGTCTGTCTGCTCACACATTAAATGTACAAGCATGATGTTGTGACAACTTTGGAAGCAACATATACAAGTGTGAGGGGAGAACTCCCCTTCCACCATGAAATGGTGAAGAAAAACATCTTGTTCGTAAAAAGGAAAATATTTGCATATTCGTACATTTTGGAATGTACCTGCAGGGGCATTAGCTGTCAATTTCATTAATTTTAGCCAGATTATTCGAAACAAAATAGAAAAAACAAATAAGACAATTTATTATTAAAATCGGATTTTCTTTTTCGTAAAACACGTCTGGAGGGAAACTAACGATAGACTGAGATGAGCACGTCACACAGCGAAACATGAATAAACTTGGAGCATGCAAAGTGGGGAATACATTTGCAAGATCGTTGACATTTTCGAAAGAAATGATGAGCTCCCCCTCTAAGGTCGTGATTAGTTACAACTGTTAGGTCGCAGGCTGACCCTTTGCACATCCTTTAAGAGTGAGCTGTGACGCTGAATTAAAACATGAAAAACGGTGATCTATCGTTAATTAATTTGAATCATTAAGGGGTTTAAATGTTAATCATGATGTGCACAAGTCAGTTTTGTTGGTTTTGTGGTGTCCACCGTTTTAAAAAAAAAAACATGGAGCTTGGTAAATTAAAACTCTTGCCCTGAGTGCATGTGTGCTACAGCCTTGATAGGTGTTTATCAGCCGCTCCAAAGCTGCTCACATTATGCTTCAATACAGCTGATGCGCTCTTGTATTAATATCACTTAACATGTGTCTTCTATTCTACAGAAAGGTCTTCCCAGCAGCTGCCCAGGAATGGGTTAAAATCCTGTACACGTCTGATACCCGTTACATGTTAGTTTCGTTTTTTGTGTGCTAATGAATCACCATTTGCTGAGAGAAACAGAGAAAATACCAACTTCTGAGTTTATCCACTGAAAGCTTCAAACCCCTAATGTAAGCAGGAGCCAGCTGTGCGCACTTGTAAAGTTGTTATAATCCTCCTTTGACCTATAAACAGGAAAATACATAATATAAAGCATCATGCTGAAACTACAAATAACACTGTCCATGTTGTCCTTGTAAGGCAATACCTTTCTTAGTGCCTTTCTGCAGCTTCCCAATGGGCATCACAACACATTTCATTTAGCTCAGCTGTGATACAAATAGAGCCAACATCTAGAGCATGCAGCCTAGCAGCTTATGCATTCTGTGTGTGTGATCAGTGTTTTTATTTTATTTTGATGGAATACATAACAACATGTTTTCAGGGGACCATCCAACCACCCAATCTCCTCACATGCTCTTTTTGGACTGTATGTTGACTGTATGCCCTTTATGCTTATTATTCAACTTAACCATCAATAACAAATATATGTTCATATGGCCTTTATGAAGCTAAGGATGTCCAGTTTCTGTTTGAGATGTGTGTTCAGTTCATATTAAGTTTGTGCTGCTGGCCAATACATTATTATGCATGGTGCACAAATTATGATGGGGGTAAAAAATATATATATTATTGATCCGGATGGTGTTTGAGCTGATATTTTTTTCAATTTCCATTACTCTTATTTTTTAAAACAATGACCACAGAGCTGTTGGCTATTTCTGCTATACAACCAAGGCCTTTTTTATTTTTGAAAGATAAAAGAAGATAAAGGTACACCAGAACCTTTTAGATATGTATTGCTTTGTGTAATTTTGCATTATGTGTTTTATGTGTCATCGCCTGTATGCTGAGCTCTGTCCTTGTGTACGTTTTAATCTGCAAGATCAAAGTGATGTTTAATATCGCATGGCCATGTCGAAGTTTTACAGTCCACCATTGCTGATGATACATTTGATTTGAGTCTAAATTATATTTTAAATCCCTCATTTATGACTAAGATATACCGGTAATGGAAATTATAAGTGAATCGTTCAATACAAATCTGAAAGGAAAATCTAACATTTTACAAAACTTCATGGCGTATGAACAAAGAAAAGCTATAATAAAAAGAATAGGATAATGCATATAAACCAGCTGAGGTTGTGACATCGACTTGTGATAATATCCCGTCAGTCATCAATGACTGTGTCCTCAGTTCTTGGATACAAGTGTCTTGGGGCCTGACACGAGGTAAAATAAATAAATTGTTAAAGTTATTTTCACTTTTATACATTTTATTTTCATTTGAGCAAACCCAAAGCAACTCCCATAAAGACTCCGCAGTGTTTGCTTGTTCTCTCTGTGTGAGCAACTCTCAGCGTCAGGGTGGACGTGATATTTCAAACAGCACATCAGTGCGTTTATGTATTGGGTGCCCGGAATTTTTTCCAAATAAACACAGCTTGATTCGACCTGGGTGGGCAGACTTATCAAGCGACTAATTCTATAAACAGATGAGGAAATAACCCACCACCTCATTGGTTGTTGGGAAAAGAGGGGGAACATAAGGGAGTTTCAGTGCAATGAAATTTTAATTAATGTGGGTGGGCTGAGAACACCACCGACTGTTTATGATGGACAATTTATTTCCCAGTGCAAAGTCAACACAACACAGCAAACGTAAAACAATTATTAACATTTTTCTGGGGTCCTCATGAGGCTGGGGAGTCAGTCGGTGGAGGAGAGCAGCTCCGGGAGACGGCTCAACTTTACCCAGGACACACTCCAGCCTCCCCGGCGTCATGACGCTCTACCACGGCCGCCTGCCCTCTCTAGGAGTGCCATCTTCGGCTCTGAGTCTCTCCGGTGCTTCGCTCATTTACCTGTATGGAGGGGACAGCGCAGGGGTCGTGCCCGCTGCCTTGAGTTTCCTGCCGGCCCGCCAGGAGCCCCCGCAGAAGCCCCCCTACAGCTACATCGCGCTCATCGCCATGGCCATCAAGAGCGCGCCGGAGCAGCGCGCCACGCTCAGCGGCATCTACCAGTTCATCATGGACCGCTTCCCCTTTTACCACGACAACAAGCAGGGCTGGCAGAACTCCATCCGGCACAACCTGTCGCTGAATGACTGCTTCATCAAGGTACCCAGGGAGAAAGGCCGGCCCGGGAAAGGCAGCTACTGGACTCTGGACACAAAGTGCCTGGATATGTTTGAGAATGGCAACTACCGTCGGAGGAAGAGGAAGGCGAAGAGTCAGCAGGATGCCATGGAATCCAAAGCCGGTGGACACAAACGTACCAAGGGCCCGGGGCCATCCAGGGACCCCCAGTCCTCCCATAAACACCGGACTGGCCCGGGGATAGCGGAGGATCCAGCGAGGCACCATGCAGAGAGAGTGGAGACACAACCTGACACAAAAGCGGTGCTGGTTGAGCTGAACCAGGCTGAGCTGTCACAGCACCCCCCCAAACTGAGACCTAATGGGTCCCCCGACAGAGACGCTCTTGCATGCACCGGAAGGAAGCTGGACGCCCCTCAGCCTGGGACTTGTCCCGCTCCAAGACATGCTGCCTGGTGGATGTACGGCGAGCCAGAGGGAAGCCTGTCAGCGGTCAGCGGGAGAGGAGAGGAGAGGAGCCCGATCTGCGCCGTCTGGAGCGCAGGCACCACAGTCCCGGCTGCAGTAGCACAGGACAGACCCAGAGAAACGGTACCGAGCAGGGACAAATCGAAAGGTTTCAGCATCGAGAGCATCTTATCGAAAAGTGAAGACCAAGTGCGCGGAAGCATCCTCGATTTGTCCGCGGACACGTGCGCAGAGCGTGGAAGTCCCGCGTTCAGTTCTTCCGTTGTGCTCGGCACGCGACCACATCAGCTGTACCACATGGGATTCCCCTTCTGCTCCTACCTGTCACTCACATACCCCGACAAAGTGCTGCATCTGAAATGAATATCAGTAAAGAATATTGAGCGTTAGGACTGGGCCTGTGATGCACTCAGCACAATGTGAGAATAAACATTTAATATTCAGATATAGTTTTTCATCATACTGCTTTGATTTGAATTCCATGTGCCACAACGTTTAGGATAGTTACAAAAAAAAGATTATTTAAAGATGTGAGTACAAATAATTTGCTACGATAATATTTGTTGCTATTTGAATTGAATTTGTCTTATGATTAAAAGTTGTTTTTATAAAACAGATAACTTTCAAATTTCTTCATCTTTTTTTCATCCCATAATCTTTTAAAGAATGCCAGGCCTTGGCTACCGAGCCTTGTTCAGTTAGGCATAGATTTACTTAAAGAAATAATAACATTTATCAGAAGGGTTTGAAAAGAAATAGAAGTTTGTTCACATAATCTGTTTGGGTACCACTTTACAATAAGACTCCCCTTATAAAGGGTTTACAAATAGTTTGTAATTAATTAATTAATTAGGTTGTGAACACTTTATAAATCATTAGTAAGCTTTTATAAGACATGAGATAAACAGGGCAACTGTGACCCGTTGCTTGCCAAATAGTGAGCCCACATTTATCTGTAAGCCTTGGCTACCTAGCTTACTTCGTCTTCTTCATCAGCCAGCATATTTGGTATCTGTTGTTCACTGAGTTGATTCTCCCCCCATCCATCCTGATGTTTCTTGGCATCTCTTATGACCATCTATATGTATGAGTTACTAACATTTATAACTGCCAAAAGGGAGCCTTATAAAGTGTAAAACACATTCCCATGTATTAATGAGTTACTAACATTTATAATTGGTAAAAGGGAGTCTTATTGTAAAGTGTGAAACACATCACCATCTGTTGATGAGTCACTAACATTTATAACTACTGAAAGGGTGCGTTGTTTTTAAGTTTAATACACATGTCCATTTATGAATGAGTTATAACATTCACGCTTACCTAATACAC